TCATTATTATTATTATTATCATTATTATTATTATTATCATTATTATTATTATTATCATTATTATTATTATTATCATTATTATTATTATTATCATTATTATTATTATTATCATTATTATTATTATTATCATTATTATTATTATTATCATTATTATTATTATTATCATTATTATTATTATTATCATTATTATTATTATTATCATTATTATTATTATTATCATTATTATTATTATTATCATTATTATTATTATTATCATTATTATTATTATTATCATTATTATTATTATTATCATTATTATTATTATTATCATTATTATTATTATTATCATTATTATTATTATTATCATTATTATTATTATTATCATTATTATTATTATTATCATTATTATTATTATTATCATTATTATTATTATTATCATTATTATTATTATTATCATTATTATTATTATTATCATTATTATTATTATTATCATTATTATTATTATTATCATTATTATTATTATTATCATTATTATTATTATTATTATTATTATTATTATTATCATTATTATTATTATTATTATTATTATTATTATTATCATTATTATTATTATTATCATTATTATTATTATTATTATTATTATTATTATTATTATTATTATTATTATTATTATTATTATTATTATTATTATTATTATTATTATTATTATTATTATTATTATTATTATTATTATTATTATTATTATTATTATTATCATTATTATTATTATTATTATTATTATTATTATTATTATTATTATTATTATTATTATTATTATTATTATTATTATTATTATTATTATTATTATTATTATTATTATTATTATTATTATTATTATTATTTTTTTTTTTTTTTTTTTTTTATTATTAATATTAATATTATTAATATTAATATTATTTTTATTTTATTATTATCATATACATTTTTCATCGTTATCGTTATCGTCATTGTTACGATTCAACGTTACCGACTCATAAAGTCGCATAGCAATGACGATTAAAAACATATAGATTATTAAAATCATATTTTACTGTGAGACTTCTTTTTTTTCAAATACATCGAATGAAATAGTAGAAAATAAAATTTGAATTAAAATTATAATTGTATTTCTTTATATCAAATCATTTAATCCGACAAATTTATCTGAAAAATCATCGTGCGTTCTCATATACATTACATTTTTAATTTTTATTAAAATTATAATAATTAAAAGAATAAAGAATTCATAGAACAGATATGTTACTTTTTCTTTTGTTTCTCCTTTCTTCTATCAAGAATTTGCTCTGTATCAATACTCTTCAGCATTTGTCACTATCTTTACATTGTCACATCAGTGATATTACAATTAACTATTGGTGATATTACTGTATTACTATGTCTGTACAAAAGAAGATTTTTGCAATTGTATTGCTCGCTTAAAAACTCTAGAGCGGTAAAAGTAAATTCACACTTTTGATTTTTTTATCGTATCGGTAATATTTGAATTGACATCAACCGATACATCGCATTTACCGATAAAAAAACCGAACTAATTCTCAGATATATCATAATAACAACATTTAGAAGATTCAATTATTTTATCAATAAATGTAGTTTTGAACCTGGTCAAACGATATTCAATTTCAAACTTGTGTTATTAAGTGAAAAAAATTAAACATGCGAGAGGAGTGTGAGTGGACAGTCAAAAAGCCAAACTGTATAAACATCACAATTTATTGACGCCGATTCGGCAAAATTATTGATACAGTTAAAAAATCGTATCGTATAAGAATATTTGAGTCAGAACCATAGTTAATGGGGAGAGTTCCTTCACAAGGGAATACATGACGTCACATTAGCTCCACTGCCACTTTTACGTCATTTGCACACGTAACAGAAGATATGCTTATGGTCCGTTGCCATAAAAGAAAAAATGGAAAAAACGTGTATAGTGGAGAAAAGTAGCGTTAGTTAGAGACGTGACAACATATCATAAGGTATAACTCATGTCATGTGACATGTGACGTAGATATTGAGTGGCAGAGGAAAGTAATGTGGCATTTATTTAATACAACATATGTCAATTGTTGATACAACAATGTATATAGAAATAGATATAAAATAATTACATTAATCAGATTATAATACCCAATTTATAATAAATAATTGAAATTCATTGAAACTAAAACTATTGTAGACAAAGGTACAATTTATAAATCAATTTATACCTTTTGTATAATTCTATATATTTAAATATATTTAAAAACAAGCAAAAATATTTTCATTATTTTATTTCACATCTGGAGTTGCTTTTGTATCAAAACTTATTTTTTATATTATTTAATTCAAATCATTTAATATCGCATGTCGAAAAAAAATGAAATCATTATAATATATAAACTACCTTTTGTATGTATAAATGTAATATTACAATAGCTTATACTTTATACAATAACATACAATTTATCTACTCTTATACATTAATTAACTCTCGAATACATTAATAAATCTGTATATATTAATAAATTTGAATACACTAATAAAATTTGAAGTTTTTAGTAATTTTTTTTAACTAAAAAATAAAATTAACATTGATTTAATATAATTTTATGAATCAAAAAAATACAAGATAATAAAAATGCAATTATTCGTTCAATAAAATTTTTAAGCAAATTTTGTGCAATTTCGATAAGTACACTTTGTTATAAATGCAGTAATTTTTAAAAGATCAACGATGATTAAACATAGATTTTAATTTTTAGTTTGGCTAATCACAAGCATTTGATAAGTTATGGTTTTTTCAATGTTTCAAACAAGTAATATTGAGCTTTTTGAAATTTGTTACAGTAAAGAATAATATTAAACAAAATTGTCTATAATATTGTCTTACTATTTAAAGTACTATTTAAGTGATCATAATGTGAATAATGTAATTAAACCTATAATTGCATCATTCATTTATAATTTTTACATACTACACCTTGTGTCCCTTATGGAATTTAAATTTAATTATTTACCACTAAGCGTATTTGTATATTTTAAACAGACTATATAAAAGGTACCTTTATTATTAAACTATTAACATATATTTTTATATTGAATGTGTAATGTATGCGAATATTATTATAGATATACATATACATATGCATAGAATATGAAAAAGGGATTGGAACGCAAACATTTGGAATGAGCTCACTTCTCTTTCACTTTAAATTTTAATATAACTTTAATTAAACTTATGCATGTATATGTTAATAAATATCGAAGATTGTACTCACTAGATGAAAATTAACAAATTAATATAAACCCATCATGTTCTAAAGTGCCTTTTAAATTCTTATAGTGGAAGACTCTTGACTCATAAAATATTATGACATATCCCATTAAGTATTTACACGTTAATAGAGAATATTTTATAGGAATAATACAAAAGGCACATAACACGCATTGCATTACCTTTGTAGTCTTCGATTATGTTATTTATATATGTACGTATACTGTAGATATAACGTTTTATACAAAATCGAATTAATATTGCTTAATCATCCATAGTTCAAGAAACTCTACAAAATGCTATCTATTCTAAGGTGCATATACAATATTCTATACAAATATACATATATTTTTATACATCTTGTACTTACTAATTTTAACTAGCATTCGATATATCAATATCAATAGTTTCCTTAAGCAATGCTCTCTTTTCTTCCTTGGTATTTACTTGCTTTTTACCACCACCTTTACGTTTACCTCTGTTTAGTACACCATTTTCATCATCCATCATACGAAGAATTTGCGTTTGATCAGAACTTTCGATTGGTGCTATGGAAATGTCGCGTACAGCACGAAATTTACCACAATTATTCAAGTGCTCGTTCTCCAATCGAAAGAAATTCCAAATAAAACGCCTTAAAAAGTGTACACGTCGATGTATTGTTAATAGATTAAAATATTATAAAAAATATTAATACCTTACCTAAAAACCTCAAGAGGTGCAACTATAGATGTCATTAAGTCATTGGAAATATGTCCGCATTGTATTAAAATGAAACTTGCGACCCATATAAATCTTAACACAAAATCCTCTATTATCGCAAAATAATAAAAGCCCTGAAATGGGTTTACAATTTTTCATTAAATTAACAATTAATAATGACAAATTAAATTGTCGCAATACTTACTGCTGCAGAATAAACAACTTCCTCTCTTAAAAATCGGTTTTCACCAGCATTATTATCCAGAAGACCCCAATCCATTTTAAGATCCCATGTATAAGAATATACTGAATTAACAACGCAACTTGCCACCCAAGACCATAACCATGGATTCTCCCATTGATTACTATATTCACCTAATATATATATATACAATATACTTACTGAATGATAGTTTATTTTCATATAAGTAACAATTCATATAAGTAAAATATTCAAACCCACCTTGATGATAATTATGTAATGTATTAGCTATAACAACTAGAAAGGTAGTTGAATATTTTCCAGCATTTGCTAAATGCGGAAATGCTTCTTTGGAATCACGATATCTTCGTAAGCATTGTGCAAAACGAAACCAAGCCGGTAGACAATTAACAATAGGTCTGAGGATCAAAGATCCTGATGTACATTGCTTTGTATTCCCTGCTTCAAGCCAATTACCATTAGTGATGTAAAAACATGTTAAAAAATGAAAGTCCAATAGAGCGGTAGTCAAACTATTTAATTGATCAGCTAACCAAAAATCTGCGAAATTAACGTATGCAAATGGGGATACCAAAACACGACCCTACAATAAAATAAATTAATTAGAATAATAGTTTTCCAGAGAAAGTCGATATGACATTATTTACAATAATTACTTACAATGATTTTGAGTAACCAAAAACGTGCTTCATGGCGAAAGATCTTGAATGGATTCAGAAAAAATGCCAGCATAAGACAGACAAGAGCTAAAGGATTTACATATGGCGGAATACTAAGACTAGCACTGTAAAGGAAACTTAATAGACTTAATGTCCATACTACTCCAAGTACTGCAGACAATTCCATAAGATGTTGTTCGGACAGATGATTCCGTGGATCCAATTCAAATATTAAGACATGATTTACCCCTGAGGATCTCCAACCATAAACATTAACACCAATGAGAAATAAAAATTGAATGATAAGCAATGGTCCTCTGTACAAACGAAATGCTACTTTCAAATTTTCTCCACTCTCATGGAATATTGCTGTGAATAGAAAAAATTATGCATTGAAATTACGGCCCGCATTAATATAATAAATACGTGTATTATATGCACACTACCTGAGAGAACAACCGCTATAAACAGGATTATAAAGCTTCCAGAAAATAATCCCACTTTAAAAGTAGTCCACGGGCTCTGATGTTCACCTAGAGGTGGCACACGAAGTCTTTTCATAGCACGTTGCCTATCTCCACCTTCAAGATCATTTGTTACGGTTGTCTCTGTTTCTTGTATAAGCTTATCTATATCTTTTGAAGTATAGAAATGAGCTATTTCTACACATTCTACTCTCCATTTTGAACCACTATCCACAGACAATAACTGCAAATGACAATAATATTGTGAAGTGTATAAATATTTCTTTACAATATTTTGCTTAAGCAATACAAATAGTATTTGAATTATTACTTGGATATATACTTGGAAACACAAGGGAACATGAAATGGTTGTTGCCTGATTTCTTTTTATCTTGATATATTTGTATGTTTGAGAAACTTTTTTAGTGAATATTTTATATATACTATAATTTGACTCTATTATATACCTTATCATGCTTTTTAAGAATTTTACGAAATCCAGTATAATTAAGATTTTGGTAGTTTTGTAAAAGTATGAGAGAAAGATAGAACTCTGAAAATGCAAGTTTCAATTCTCTTAATTTTCTTGTAGGTAGATAAGGTTTGGTATTAGGTTTTCCTTTGTTTTTGCCACTGCCATGTTGCAATTCTAAAGCAGTCTTCAATTCATTTTGTAATGCTGCATATTTACGTGTTGCTTCTGCTAATTTTTCTATAAAACATGATTACTTATATCACTAATAATATTTTCTTATTGCATCTAAATAATTCTACATAAATAATAAAATCCACTTACCAGAATAAAAAGTATTAATTTTTTTCAATTCACGATCACAAAATGTAAAAAATACTTCGTCGAAGGAAGCAAAGTGCCTTTGTATCACTTCTGGTTCTACACTTTCTGAAGAAGGTGCCTCCTCCACTGCAGTATAAAGCATTGCTTTCATTTCCTACAATTATAAAACTCATATAATATTCAATATATCAGTCAAGTAACAAATAGAAACATTTCATAAATGATACGTAACATTGATTGTATTATTTACCTCATAACTAATATACTGCTTACGCCATTCAGGCGTAATATGAGCAGATAGATGTTCTGCAAACTTCATTTTTAGTTATATACTTTAATATATATCTAAAATCAAATAAGTTTTCTTTATATAATTCAATTAAAGTTTATCATTTGATAAAAAAAAACTTTTGCATATTACATTGTATTAAATTCTTATATAAGACATTAATTCCTTATATCATTTTTATAGATTTATTACTTCAATATTTTAAACTTATTACTAATGCCACTGGCTTTCGGGTTTCAGAAATTTAAAAAGACAGTTTAAAGAATTAATAAAAAAAAAATGAGAATAGTAATTAACGCCAATACTTACAAAGTTTCATTGGCACTTTTAATTTTAGTAATGTATTAATTTGTTAATATTTTAGCATGAGAATTATAAACATCAGTACTTTTACAAAGTTCTCCTGTATTATTCTCCTGACGTTCGTCTACTACAGATTAAATTGGAGGCAAGGTTATAAATGATATTTATAACGATCTAATTGGCTTTGTCGGTAGCATTGATTAAATATTTTATCTTCTCGCATCGTTACAATATTTGTTTTTCTTAAGATAAAACGCTATTAAATAGGACACCGAAACAAAGGAATAAACCGCGTTCTGACATTACATATTCGTAAACGAATCTTTAACAAACGAATTAAAGAAATAGCTTAAGAAATGTATATGTTACTTGATATATAATGCTTGTTACTCGAACATTGTAATAATCTTTCTTTTTGCAATTCTTATCCTAAATTTGAGTAAAATAAAATGTTTTTTAAAATTACTAAATTAGTGAAATAACTTAATTCGATATATATTGATGTATTGCTCACTTGATATTTTGCTTATTAAAAAATAAAAAATTTCTAGCAGCCATGCCTAAAAGTAATTTAGAAAAATGAAAAGAGATGAAAAAGACAAAGTGAATTTTGCCTATAATATTCATAAATGATGGATTTTCTAATTGTACTGATTCGTCGCACGAAGTATATTTAATTATACGCCGTTTTACAATTTTCACAATTAATTGGATTGTTTTTTTTTATTTTATTGTTAATTTAGAAATTTAGAAATTATTTTTCATCTTACGCATACATCCGTATTTATTACAAATGACATGTACTTGTTGCATTAGTAATATTCGATTCCGATTCGATTCTTTTGATCAAAAGATCGATCTTTTGAATCGATTCTCTATTGTATGATTTTTCTCCGGATCGATTTTTTACTTGAAAAATCGAGAATCGATTTTTCTTCAATATTTTTTCAACATCAGAACTTTTAACTATATATTATTCTTAACCTACATATTCTCGTAATATTAATAACCACTTAACAATTTTATACATAATATAAAAATATATATATTTTTTCCTAGCTTATTTTAATCAATATTCTTATATTAATAGTCTCTTCTAAACTATGTAACAAATTTTTACTTTTAAAAGATTTTATTGTTGGCTACACTGCTGACTAGTAAGTTAACAAGGTTGATCAAAGTGATCCTTTATTGTTTTCATCTAGCATTTGGATACTTTCGACAAAACATGCGATGTTACTAAACAGGTCGCTACACTACAAGCAAATCTTGCCCTAGATACCGTATGTTGTATTTCGAAACTTATATATATTTTTTATGCTTGGACGGTTGCAGAAAATGTTGCTGATTTTGCGATGCCTATCAGCAATATGATGAAGATAATTACAACATTTCTGTAACAAATCGGTAACTTCTACTTTACTAACGTAACAACGAAGGCTACCACTTACCACTAGGAAAAAACAAAAAATACGTTTTCGAGAAGATATCTAAAAAGTTAATCACGTTTGGTATTACATTCTTTATTAAATAAATAATTCTCATTATTAAGTTTATATGTTTTTGATGAAGTTACATCTGTTATTTTTATATAAACAAAATTGTGAATTCGTTTAGTAAGAATCCCTATTTAACTCATGATCATGGCGCCGATATTTCTATGATAAATATAATTACACTCATATTTTACGATACAATGTTCCCTCCTTAATTTTTTAATTCTAAACATTTTATAAACAACGCTGTATATCTCATATATACGACTTTAATTACCATATGCAAGTAATCAGCTACAAATTTCAAGAGAAATTTTTAAATGTCGTTGATGTTTAAATATTTGTGTTTCTTTTTTATCAGCTTTTGTAAGACATGTCGCAATTTTGATATTTCTTAACATTGAGATCTGAGATATTTTTACCATAAAAAATATGTATTATGTTGAAAATTAGTAATTACGATAATCAATTGATAAATTTTAACATAAATGTAAAAGAAAAACTATGTTATTTTGTAATTTGCTCATTTGAAATTATTTTAATTATATTTAAAACATTATTTCTTTTTTATTAAAATATAATATAAATATTTTATATTTAGAATTATTATTATAAAAATGACTACTGTCATTGTAGAAAAGATATTATTGCCATGTATACATGTTATATTTTTGTATTTGAATCTTGATGATAATTCTTTTCTTTTTTCCAGAAAAATGCGATTTGTATTATTATTGCTGTTAATAGCAGTTTTCATAAATATTAGTTTAGCACTACGTAATTTTATAAGAGGCAGAAGTAAAGATGGAAATTTGGGTATATTGCTTTCACATAAAGAACAGAAATGGCTTCCTAAGGAGCAATGGTTTATCCAAATGCTCGATCACTTTAACCCAATAGATGCACGTGTTTGGAAGCAGGTATAGATGTAGTAATTAAAATTTTAGACAATTTTCTAATTAGTTTTTTCTTTTTGTTCAGAGATATTTTCAGAATACAGAATATTATAAACCTGGTGGTCCTATGTTCCTTTTAATCGGTGGTGAAGGAGCAGCCACTGCCAAGTGGATGGTGGAAGGACAATGGATTGAATATGCTAAACAATTTGGAGCAATGTGCTTTCAACTTGAACATCGCTTTTATGGAAAAAGTCATCCAACTGCGTGAGTTAATATATTACGATATGTAGTTTTAATAGCATAGCATTTAATATAATGTTATTTTATAAGGAATACTTTTCAGAGATATGAGTGTGAAGAACTTAATTTATTTAAATTCAGAACAAGCACTTGCAGATATAGCATACTTTATAGAAAGTATAAATGAAATTTATAAAGTATTACATAATATAAAATGGATTGTTTTTGGAGGTTCTTATCCTGGATCATTAGCTGCATGGATGCGTGTAAAATATCCTCATCTTGTACATGGAGCTGTATCTAGTAGTGGTCCAGTCCTTGCACAAGTTGATTTTCAACGTTAGTGTAATATAATATGTAATAGATGCAACATTGACTCATATATATATATATATATATATATATATATATATATATATATATATATATATGATTTTGTAGAACATTATCTATTTCACATTCTTTGTATATATTGGGTTGGCCAATAAATAATGTCAGAATATTTAGTAAAAAATATTAGTAGTTTATTTAGATATTAAATTCTGACATTACTTATTGACCAACCCAATATATATATCTATTAATAGATTTACATTATAAACGAATATTATTACCGAATGTATACTGTATTATTATGTCTAAAATTAAGAAACATATTACAGAATATTATATTATTGTTGAAAATTCTCTTAAAGAATATTCTGAAGCATGTGTAGATGTGTTAGCAGCTGCGAACAAACAATTTCATATGATGTTACATCATCCAATAGGTCAACAAGGCATTGTTAAAAAATTTAAGTAAGTATGAATTTAATCACAAATGGTATTCCAAAATATTTATTCATTTCTAATTTACTTTTTGCAGCCTGTGTGATCCAATAGATATTGGATACACAAAACGCGTTGATATTTCGAATTTATATGAAACGATAATAAGTAATTTTGCGGGTATTGTTCAGTACAATAAAGATAATCGTAACAATTCAAGAATGGCTAATTTGTCCATCGATGATGCATGTAACATTCTAATGAATGAAAAAATAGGTATATCCATCGATAGACTCGCTCATATAAGTAATATAATACTAAATGCGACCAAAGAAAAATGTTTGGACTTTAGGTACGATAAGATGATTCATGAGTTAAGGAATGTAACATGGGATTCTGAAGGAGCAGAAGGAGGTAATTTTACAGAAATTATCATGTCTATTGCAAAACTATAATAAAATTTCATTAGGTCGGCAATGGATATATCAAACCTGCACAGAATTTGGATTTTTTCAAACATCGACTGCTCGTCCTAATTTATTTAGTGAAATGTTTCCAGTAGAATTCTTTATTCAGCAATGCATTGATATTTTCGGACCTAGGTTTGTATATTAATAATTTAAGAAAACTATGTAAGTATTATTTAGTACATGGATGCTCTTTGATGTCCTTTTTTAGGTATAACATAGACTTACTTAATAATGCTGTGAAGCGAACCAATACTCTATACGGAGCACTTAAATTAGAAGTAAATAATGTAGTGTTCGTACATGGATCTGTTGATCCATGGCATGCACTAGGTATTACAACATCGTTAACTCCTGAGGCTACCGCTATTTATATCAATGGTATGTGTAACGTTATTCGTTTTTCTAATTTGTAGATATTTTAACTAATATTATTTAAAGGTACTGCACATTGCGCTAACATGTATCCACCTTCTGAACATGATCCACCTCAGTTGAAAGCAGCTAAAGCACAAGTTGGACAAATAATCTATCAATGGTTAAAAAGCTAAGTTTACTTTCTGTAAATTTTTGTGTGATATTAGGAAATAAGTTTGAACAAAATATTTTGAAATAAAATAATGTAATCTTTTATTGGTTTCCGTTTGTTACTAGATACGATGTCTTTTGTTTTTATTGGAATATTAATCGAAAATACTATGTACTAGAAAATACATGTTAAAAAATATTTTTTTCTATATATTTACATATATTGTTAAGTAATAAAATACCAATGGAATAGAATCTCAAACAGGATGCATAAATATGTTTATTTTATGTAATAGATACAATATAGCAAGTAAAGCTAATGGTACAAGATAATGTTTTCGAAATATATCGCTTTTAGGTAAATTAAAGTAATTTGCCCAAAATGGCACTATCATAATTTACTTAGTATTACTTGACAAAATAAATACATATGTATATAAAATTATTATGAATATCTTATTTCAGTCGATTAATTAAAATGAATGTCAACGCCTATTTTAGATCAAAGCAAAAAATTTTGTTTGTGATGTATCCTGAACATTTTATCATTACAGTAACTTTATGAAGTGTTCGTGTTCTATACAAACTGTATTCTATCTACCCAATTTATTTATTAAAGTAGCTTTCATCATTAAATGAACGTTCGATTCCGAAATGGATAACATCGGCCTTCCCTTATTTTTTTCTTTTTTGTAAATAATCAGCAACTTCAAGGCGAGGCCAAGGTACCCATGACAGATTTATATTCTTGTCACAGGGATTAAGAAGAACTTATTCGAGATAATATACAAAGACAATAAAAATCTATAAGAAAGCTAAAGATATACTTTGCTATAGATATGTATGTTAAGATTCTTTTGATCATAATTAATATATTACTTTCTTTATTTTGTTTTTGGCATTCTGCTAAATAAAACTCTGATCTCTCATCAAGATCAAGATGACCATAATTCTTAATTTACAATAATCGCTTTAAAATACTTATATATGTATATACAGCATAACGCATAACAGATCGAGTGATTATAAATTATTTATTAGATAATAGAGCAATAACGTAAAATCCTTCATAGCTACCGTTACGTATCTAACATTAATTAAATATTATTTTCTAAAACAAAGTGCAAACAATAAAAAATTCGATATGCATTTGCACATTTCTGTTACGTGATTCTTGAGTCATCGTGACAAAACACATCGTGCTGTATGAATTTCTTCAATTTAAAGTTTAAATTGATTTTAACAGACTCACTCTTAAAACATTCAATATCTGTGGTGAGACTGCGATTGCTTCCATTCGGGCGAATTATGATGATGATGGTGGTGGTGATGATGACGTTTCTTATCCGAAACACTAGCATGTTTGCTAGATGGATAGGCTGCAACATCGCTGACAACTAATTCCGAACCATCACGTTCGGTATTGTTACCGCGATAATTTTCCCGATATCCTGGTTCATCCAGGGTCTCTTTGCGTTGTAACGCAGGATGGTTTATCTTATGCCCGGTAGTCTCATGAAGATTCTCCCATGCTTGCCTATAATATCGATTTAAGCCACCTCGACTTTCTGAGGAACTGCTATCAAAACTAGCAACGGTATTACAATCTGGAGATGCTCGATGACGATAGTGTTTACTGCTTCTACCACGATTCCTACGTAAACAGTGAAACGTTGTTAAAAGATATTCTTCATAGAACCATTATCGTATCAAAATATATAAAAAATGTAGTTAGAAGATCATTTTTTAAAGTTTTATAAGAAACATGTAGACGATGCAATGGACAAGAAGGATAAGCATGTTGCAATGAAAAATCGCTAAGTCAAATTTGCCATAAAATACAATTAAAAGTAATCAATCGTTTTCATAATGAAACAATCATCCACCTCGTGCATAAAGAAGAGCAAAGCAGAAGAAAAAAGGAGCATAAACATTTAATCTTGTTCTATAGGCATCTGCGAAAAGTTTTGCATAGTAATACTCTTGGAAAAAATGAAGGAAAAGTTAATCAGGAGAAGGGTGCAAAAATTGTCACTCGCGAAGGACGAACGCGTGCAAGAAACATGTGTACGAAGTTTCTTTTGTAGAAAACAGAAAGGACACCGTGACCTGCCGGTGAAACGAGCTACCACTATACGTAGTGCGCAGTAGAAACTTTGCTCGTTTACCTTGACTAGTATCACTTGCGAGGGTGGCGCACAGTGGTGTGGTGATGATACGTGATGATGGTTGATGTGGTGGGGCGGTGGTTGCGTGGAGGGGTGGGAAAGAAGTAAACTTTGTCCTGTTGCTTTTATTTTACGTGTTTCTTTTTTTTTCCTTTTTCCTTTCTTTTTCTTATTTGTCTTAATTGTTGTTGTTGTTGTCATCTTTGTTTTTCTTTCCTTTTTTCTTTCTTTTTCGTTTGTTTGATTTTGTTTTTTCGTCGTTGTACTTGTTTAGAATTCAAATGGAAGGGTTCGAGAAGTAACCGGCACGATGCGCTGCCGAGATGGTGAAGGAGTAAGGATGATCGCTACCGCGGCGAGCCATGAGGTCGCGGCGCCCCAGGTGCTGGTCGGGGAAGGGCAGCGCCAGTAGCGTATACCAACGCGAGGGCATTCCGGACTCGCCCCTCCCAAGGGCACCGCTACCGCCACCCCTCAACGCTCCAACCCCACCGAGCCCCCTGCGGCGCCTTCCTCTTACGCTGCCACTGCCGCTAACCAGCGTCAACGCAAACATTTCAACGATAAATCTCAACTCTCGTCCTCCGTAGACATGTTTTGAGTTAACGCTTTATTCGAACTTATTCGCGCCAGGTTAACTCCAAATGAACCTATTTCTACTTTTAAGATGAATGAACGAAGACGATTTGCTAAGTTTGAAGTTTGAATGTAAGTTAATTTGAAGCTAAATCTTTCAACTATTCTATCGATTACATCAGAGAGATCAATATATACTGCTAATCACTGTTCTCCGTAGAAAGAATTGTATACGAGCTATATGATCGTTGTTACGTGTGACTTTCGGGAAGGAAGACGAGCGTCAGAAAAGCAATTCGTTAATAGAGAAACAAAAGAATATGCAAAATCTCTACGTGAAATCGCAATTCTCATTTGATTTAATTCAATTGTAACAAAGATTTGATTCAATTGTAATGATTAATAAATTTTTAAAAGAATGGCATTTTTGCTTTAAATTTAAGATAAGAAAGAGGAGAGATAGAAAGAAAAGTAAAGAAATCCAAATATACTGTTCAAGCGATACAGTAGGCAGAAGTAAATAAAGAGCAGACATTTTATGTATAAAAGAGCGTTAATAATATAATCATAGCAGAATAAGACATAGATTACCCGCCTGTGATATTTGTATGCGTCATAGTTTAATATAAGGATAATGTATCCCTACCTGCGTATCAGTATGACTACCGTTGTGATGACCGCAGCAAGGAAGACAAAACCACCGAAGACTCCAAGCGCTATAACAGCTCCAAGATTCAATTTTGCTTGATGGGCGCTAGTCGATTGGTTGAATGTGTCCACTTGCAAAGGTCCTGAGGGTTCGGGTACACCTGTACCAGTACCGGCTTGTACGTGATCAGCACCACTACCAGCGATCTCGTTATCTTGCGGATGATCTTTGCTATGATCATTTAAAATTGATAATGAAGAAGAAGCTGTACTTTGTATGTTAACGCTCGACTTTTTCGATTCGGTTTCTTTAACCGTCGCCATATGTTCACTATTAATCGATGGTATTTTGCCATGTGGCGGGACGATCGTTGCTGCTTTCATCGTTGTAATCGTTGTCGTTACTTTCGTCGGCATGTTTGCTGGTGGCGTAGTCGATCTAATCTTTGTTGTAATGAACGGTCGTGCTCTGCTACTTGTTGCTGGTCTTAAAGTCGCTCGCGGAGGCAGCGTTACCGTACTTGTACGAGTCTCCTCTATATGTACATAAACGAATAGTGAAATATTCAGAAACATAGGGCGATTAGCCATAGTTGGTTATGATCAACATACAACATACAATATGTAGACATATAGTAGTATGTAATCATAAAATCAAGTATTCGCTTATTTATATGTTATTAGATCAAGAATTTGGCTACTCGGATTATTATTTGATTATAATTTGATTGAAGTTCAAGTTTAATTATCGGTGTAATGATATGTGTAATTATCCGTGTAAAAACATTTCGGAAAAGCATTTATTTCTCTTCTTAATGTTAGACGAATGAAAAACAAAAAGAAAAAATATAAGAGGAATATAAATAATATAAATTACCTGTACAAGAGGGCGCGGCGTGATCATAAAGTCCAGTTTGTAAACAGAGAATCTGTCGTAAACCGATCAACCGATATCCCTTTTCGCATGTATAAGTGACGATACTGCCAACGAGCAGGCTTCTGTTAACGCTGCTTTTGCTTACCATTTCAGTTTCGTCAATTTCATCAATTTGGATGAAACTATGAGGAATTATTACGGGTGGATCGCAATGTATCGGTTCGCAACGCGGCGGTGGTCCGTTCCATCTCTCGTCTATATCGCACGTTAGTCTCGCACGACCTACAAAAGGAGATACGATAGAGTGATTTCATGTAAGATCATACAATTATTGAACTTTATCAATTACCTGTCATTTCATATCCCTCGTCGCAAGAGTAGAGTACTTGGCTTAGATAAGTTACAGTGTTGTTAATCAACGTGTAACCACCGTGCTTTATGTTCGCAGGATAACCGCATTCGATATCTAAGGAAACACATTGCAAACACATTAATTAGGATCCATTCGTAATTCACTCAGATCTACGAGAGGATAAATAGCAATCATTATTCTTACTTTTACAAACTGGTGGGAATTCATTGTAGAAGCCTGTATCAAGACACGTACGAGTCGAAGGTCCGATGAGAAGACTTCCAGAATTGCAAGTATATTCTACGGTAGCGCCAACTTCGTATTGACTAACAATGTTTCTATTTATTGTAGCTGTTACGATCATGGTCGAGTTCGGTGGCTGTTCAGGTCTACCGCAAGCTCGTGGTTCTAAAAATTGAGTATCCTTGTGTTAAAAATGTATCATCAAAGTGGAAAAAGACTTAAAGACGTAAAAATAAAGGAAAACACTTACGGTGTTGACAAATAAAATTTAGTCGAGCGTTGCAAGGTGTATCGGACCAGAGCCAACCCCTGCTACCATCGTATCGAACGCAATCTTCTTCTGTACCTTGTGGAAGACTCCAAAAAGATACGGAGACTTCTTCTCCACTGCCCGTCCACCTCCAAATAGTTCGATCGTTTTGATCTCTCATTGCACCCATCCAGTACTGACTAGTCGTGTCACTTCTTCTTGAAAGATAAATAATGTCAATCTAGTTTATCGTGATATCGAACAATGAAGATTTGATGACAAAATATAAGACGTTTAAATGGTATAGTACCTGTGCCGTCTCCATAATTCCCATGAGATAAATCCTTGAAGGGCAGGATTACTTTCATCGACTAGAGTTCCACCTCGTGCTCGGCAAAAGGCTAGAGCCTCTCTGAAGATTAGCGGTTGTCGATTATAAAATATATAACACTTTCCATTATAAGTAGCAGTTGATCCCGGAGGTTGATCTCTGAATTGTGGACATCTCTCGATGGGCAGTGCCTACGTATGGGAATATCAAAACGAAAGATGGGAAGTTTAGCTAATTGTGACTATGAGAGACATGAATGACGATCATAGGGTAAATCATAGGGTACATACCTGGTCTGTATAAACGAAAGCTTCGCATAAGGAAAGCTGCACCGGAATTAGCGCTTGGGTGGAAGCCTCTAAATGTACCGAAACGAACGCACCAGGCATTGGTGGATTGCAAGGAAGGAAAAGAGGTTGACCCTCTTCTAGCAGACCAGTGAAACGATTGCAAATTGGATTTGTTCCCAAATCCGGCCGATTGTTACCAACACGAACGATGATCGTGCCAGGAATAGCAGTTCCTAATTGAAAGAAAGAAGCACCCTTTTATCTTTTCTTCGCTCCGTTACCATTCGCCTTTCTTCTTTATCTCCCTCTCTTTCTCTTTCTCGTTTTAATTTACTATGTATAATTAATTTAAAAGCGAATCGGAAAAAAGGAATTGAGAAGAAACAAAAGAGCCAACATCTTTCGACCTAAATAACGTTTCAACTGCCACAATGAGCGCAGAGCCATGACGTAGATAGTTATTATAATATTATATATTCTTCTTGGGATATTTCGTTTCTCTTCGACAGAAGAAAAATAAATAAAAAAGGGCAAAAGAGAAAAACGAAACGATATACGCATTGAATGCAGAACTTTCTTGCATTGGTAAACTCTGTGAATTTCACTGTTTGAAAGCGCGTAAAGGAAGCGCGAGATCGGAACGAAGCCGAAGATCGATACGTGCCTCATCGTCATTTTCTTCCTTTTCTCGAGAGAAACTACGCTGTCACGGATCGTCTCGTCCTCTTCGTTCGATTGTCATTTTATGAACAATAAAATTATGTTTCCCTGATTTTCTCGATGCGTTCACTTTTCTTTTCCTTTTTTGGCAGTCAAGCACAAATCATTTGCATTCATTTCAGTTAATACTTAATATACATCTCGACAAAGTGTTTCTGCTTCTGATTTTCTTCTTTTCAAATAAGAGAATGAAAGAAAACTGCGAACAAATCTATAAATCGTTTCATCTCACTATCTACTGAAGTAAAGTCTACAAACGAAACACATAAATTGCTACATACATATGTGCATTATATACGAATGTTAAAATCGTTATGGTTGCTGCTCGACGTGAAAGTTCTCATCTTTTCATTCCATGAAGGCTAATTATGAGGTGCGTTATTGTGAAATGCGATTGATTTAATTGCAAGTACTGTGCGGACACGAGTCGGAAGGCATAATGTGGAAATCATTTCAGGGTTCCTATCTCCGTGGCACTGGGCCGTGTCTAAGAGGTTGCTAGAAGACAGCATAAATCATGAATTTTGCCATACACGGTCAACTTCTTCTACGAGATAATCTCATCTGATAGTTGTGCAGACACTTATATCAAGTCAATTTTACACGCCAGAAAATGACAATCATCGAGAACGATACTTCGTTTAATACGTTCAACTTCAAACGAACTGATTTAAAGAGTTTAATGAATTGTACGAATAATTAAAATCAATTCTTTGTAAAAGGAAAAAGCAGAAGGAAAGGACCTGATTAAAGATCAAAAGATATAGGTATAAATAAACGGATAGATTGTTAGAAATATAAAAAAGAGGTTGGAAATAATATGGCGTTTGTGAATTCATCATACAATTTCATGGATGGTTTGAGGCAATGCTTGGATGATAATTCTGCTCTCTTTTGGTCTACTTCGATTAGATATTTTGATTAGCCTTGATCAGTGGAAAGCGTACTTGAAGACTGACAGTGATTGAACCGTGAAAGAACCAAACAATTCGAGATTTAGTGTAGCACGTGCATCGAAGTACTAATCAAACAGAGATCTAATTGAATTTCAATTCAAGTATGATCGTCCTACTTGTACTCATTACTTGATAGTTCGCTGATAGACAAAAGTTACAATTTATATAGTTCGTCGAATCTATCGTGGACTTACCGGCCAATGTTAACGAGCTACTTACCACAGCAAGGTTTCCCAAAATCTAGCCGAACCAGCTGTACCATGTAAGGTTCCAAAAGGTTCACGTACCACCATGGTCTGTGTTCGGGTCTCGTTAACGTGCAAGTTTGCGCGGTGTAAATCTGAGCACTACTTCCGTCAACGGCACGTTGCGGAATTCCGCCATCCAGGCTGCTAGATTGCATCGGTGCTTTCCCGCCGGCTACATTCAATACTGAAACGTAAAGAGAATAATCATTAAAACTTAAGTATTAAGATCTATATCGTATAAGACCTATTCCTCTTGAATTGAAAAATTGCAACTTTTTATTTTTTTTGTCTTTTTATTTGCTTTTAAATCAAAGTCGTTTTAAGTCGATCAGTATAAACTAGGATGCTATTTTCGTTTGGTGATATCACAAAGTCGCGAATCTAACACTAATTACTCGATCGCAATCGTACGCAAAGGTACGTAGATAGGTACGTATATAAGTGTACAGTGTATAGGGTGTTATGTTTCGAATCAATATACGTAAGCCCAGTCAGTACGCAGATGGAACAGCCGGCCTCAAAGGAAATAAAAAATAATAAACAGAAATAGAAAAGGAGAAGAAGAAGTTTTGTACAGCGAGTGCCGGTAAATGCATTTGCGAAGAAGTCGTTGGCCTTGCGGTAGTTTTACTGTACCGTAATGTGAGAATTTTACCGGCGCTAACTCGCAATGCCGACGCTACTTTTGCTGCTACTGTTATCGTGTCGCTATCAGTAATAGTGACGAGACTAATTAATTTATTTTTAGATATTGAATAAGGAAATAAATTAGAAATCCATATGACCCAATATCTTAAACAGGAAATAAACCAAAATTAATTTTACTTTTAATTTTATCTTCTATCATCTATATATTCGATTCTGATATGTAAATTTATTTGTAACGAATGAATTTTACGTAATAAACGCTTTAATATATCGGACGATTCAAATGGCGACGCACGAAATGGTTTTCCATTTCGTTTAATTATTATTTTTTGCGAATCGTGCGATAAATCGATAAATCGACGTCGACCAACATTACAATAAATGACCGTATTTATGACACTAATATAATTGATGCATTCTTGACCTAAACCTACATATTGGATTACTTGTCGTCATTCAACTCTACAACTCGATAGATATGCAACTAGCTAGCGCGTTCCCACAAACTCGATACGTTCACGTACCTCATAATTTACAGTTATTTCTCGCGAGTACACGTGAGTAAGAAAAGATTCGCAAATTGTCTGCTGTCGGTTTGTCGGTTCTGTACTAATAATGTTCATAACGGAAGTCTTCCGTGATTAGGTTTTGAAATTATCTGCGTTCTATACACGGATCAATAAGGCGTCACAGCAGAACTAACGAGAAAGATATCAAAAATGTTAAATTTCGTGCATCCTTTCGAAAGTAGTTAGATTTTCAACTACAAATTCTACCATGAAACCCAAGTAAGTGATGTGTAAGATCTTGTCACGTTACTTTCGCGATTTTCTATTTATGGTTAAGCTCTATTACAGAAATTTACGATAATATGAACATAGAAAGAATCAATGTGAAAGTGTTAAACTCGGGTATGGAATTTTCGATTCATCGAAGCAAAACAAAAGAAAGGCCGTTTCAAGACTCTTCATTTAGTATCTTTGATTTTAGTTGATCAAATGGAACGTACGCGTTTCTATAAAATTTCAATTAAGAAAATAAGCAAAAAAAAGTATTCTTCCGTTTTATACCCAAATTTTCGTCGACAATAGAAATCAAGATGATCGTAAATACGATCTGGAACGATCTAGGAAGTTTTGCTTTTGAGAATAAAATCGTGATAAATGTGTAAACGGAGTCGAAAAGAAAGTTCCGTGTTCCTCGATGTTCTCACCAGAGGTGAGGGAAAAGCAGGAAGTAGTATGTTGAGCCTTCCTACAGAGATCGATTCCAAATACGATCTGTTTGATGCTTCTTGATTTCGCTTTGTTTCCTGTTGACGCATCAACAAAATATCATTTAACATACCCTATATCTTTTGTGTATTTAAGAAAAAAGTAAGAAAGAGGGAGAGAAAAATCGAGTCGACCCAAGGACAACGGATAGTGGCTGTTTCGCGTTAGGAATGTGCACGAGGAAGGAAGGTTGAGAAGGCCGCGCACGAGCAGCAGGTTCAGAATTAACGGTGCAATGCCCCCACCATTTTCAGTATTTCCTGGCTATCTATCGACGAATGCCTCGGTCAAGGACATTCAGAATTGGGTCGAGTGACTAATCGAAACTTCCTATCGTTTGATAGATAGATAAGTATTTACGTATGCCAAATTTATTATATATCTACAATTGAAAGAATTTTATCGAATAGGAAAGTGATATAAGAAAAATAAAAATATGGAAAGAAATTTACCGCAAAAAGGAACACCTTCCGGTGTCCATGTACCCTCTGTCTGACATTGTCTCCTCGCTGGGCCGAGCAATTCAAAACCTCGCTCGCACGAATACGTAGCTACAGTTCCTTCCGGTAATTTAGTTTCTTTGAGAAGAGCCTCCTCTTCGTCTATGACATCGTCTATGCCGCTACCCGTGAAGCGTACGCTGCTGTGAGCCGGTGCACCTGGATAACCGCATCCGACACTGATGCTACCTGGAATTCAATATCCATATCTAAGTAGATACATCTATTATGTTTTATACGTTCGTATTTAAGACAGACCATATATATAAAATTTGAAATCGACAACGCGTATGCTGTCTCAAGTATCGCAACATTTCCCCATCGTTTTTTACAATTCTGTTTTGCCATTAAAAATGGCAACATCTATATGTGATTTATTGATTTCGTCTTGAAATATACTATCACATGTTAAAAAGAAAAACAATAGGACAAAGCTCTATAAAACGTTATTCAGAAAAATTAAATATTGATTTTACGTTTCGTAGGTACTCTACCACGAAGAAAAGCATTTTGTATCTATCAATAAAAGAAATCAAGTCAGTATTCTGAATGTTACTTTTTTCTTCCGTTATATGCTATTATGAAAAACTCATTGTTACACGAGTACTTTTAACAAGCATAAACAACGTGCCCAAAATTTTAAAGACATTTTTGTGAACTAATTCTATTGCCTTTCATGACTGCACATCAGAATTGGAGGTGATTATCGCGTGACTCATGAGAAAAGCAAGAAATAGTGTAAAAAGATGACAATTGTTGTACTCTTGTAGTACATAGTTATGTAGGTAGTATATACACTAGTAGACATATTAGCTGTATAGGTTTAGAAAAGAGAATTACTTAGAAGGCGCAAAATGCGTTTAACATCGTTGCAACGTACGGGACGTTGCCTCATGGAGCATCGAAGTCTCCTTTTTTAACTTGATGACTTCGATGCGCAGTGAGGCTCGTCACCATAGCTCTAACGCAAACAACTTACTTACGAACTATTCTTACGCGCATTACTGTCAAATTGATGAAGATGCAACAAACGTTTTAATGTTTTCCCTTTTTTCCGGAGGCGCTTCCATTACATAGTATAATTTGAAATCGTCGTTTCCGCAAGAATCGTCGTATCTACACATCGTCAACCGTCTATTCTCATTTCATTCTTGTTGACGAAAAGAAAGATTGTCCTTTTGTGATTTATTAACAAATTAATATACCTATGCATACCCACCGTTACTATATATATATATATATATATATATATATATATATATATATAAAAATATATATATACATACATACATACATATATATATATATCTTATAAGAAAAGATATAACGCAACAAAAGAAAATACGAAACGTCCGGCACTCAAGGATTTCATTGAAAATTCAAGACAAACGGAAATCACTTCGAGTTCTTGCAGCAGAAATAATAATGCAAGCAACTTGCATCCTGCAATGATCGCGCAATCATCTAGCTGTTTTAAATTCTAGCTTTAAGAAGTCGTCGCAGTAAAACGTTCTGTTAACGCGTGCCAAGTTGTCAAACATAGGAATAAACTTAGGTGACGAAAATTTCACTTTAGTCAAGAAGGTTGTGATTGTATTCTTTACTTTAAATAGCACGTAAGTACCTAGTATAACGAAGAATATTTAGGTGGAATACAAAAAAACATGTTAAAAATTTGTATAGAAATAACATCGTGAGCGTAATATGTGGGAAAAGTAGAATCGATTGCTTGACAAGGTCATACGATAAAACCGCGGACGAGATGAACGGCAAGTCTACCATGATTCGTATCAGGCGGACAGGTGACATTCCTGTGGGACGATACGAGAAAACGGTTTTATCCTTGAGTCGTTGTACGCACAATCGGTTACTCGACCGTCTCGCGTTAATCTCGCTTAATTGTGCGTCGCTCTCACGTAACGGTTCGCGACTATACGATTAACACATGTTTATTAAGTATACGTTACGTCGGCGACCAAGTTGCTCAACAGAAAAAAGATATGAAAAGAATGCGAATCGTATTTCTTTTTAAAATCATACGTATAGATTTCATAGGTCCTCAACTACGTTTCAGCCGACGCAGGGTTATAGTGAAGTACGTGCAATTACAGTCAACAGACGTGATCAGAGTAAATAAGCTTATGTGGGCCAGTAGAGTGGACATAACGAGCTACAATCGCGTGGAAAGGGTAAAAGTTATTCTGGTGTAAATATCAGGTCACCGCTATTTCTACCGTTATATTCGGCAAGGATTATCATACAATACAATATTCTAATGCATTATAATTTTTGTAATTGTGCGATGATATGTTCATCTTTATGACTCTACTTTGCTCGCATATGTCCAGAGGGAGTATAACGTAACGAAGTGAATGTACAACAAAAAGACCATTTAACCAGTAAGCAAAATATGTGAGAAATTTCTTGAAATAATAATCGGTTAGAATAATAATCGAAACTAACAATACAATCGCAAACATTAACTCGTCGTTCACAAAAGCATTCATTTACACGTACACATCACTTTACTTTCGTATAGAAAAAAGTGATTTCTGCGGGATTGGAATAATGTTTAATGATTCAGTTTACGTTTATTTTTCACGACAAACCGAATTCCGATGAAAGATAAAAAACAAAATAAAAACAAAAAAGTAAGAAGTTAATTCGCAATGACGCTACGACAAGATTACGAATGCATCTTACCTTGCTTCTCTAAAAGATTCACTCCGTGCTCATGTGTTGATAGAGCAAGAAAATGCGCATCAGCTATTTTTATACGGATGAAATCTCTTCGGAGAGAATTGGCTGATATCATAATATATTTTCTAATACATTATTATCTATCATCGCAATTTTTAATCAACAATTGTCAAGTTCCATGCTTAAGATTAAATCAATGCCAAATATTATTTGTCGGTCAATATTGAAAAACGAATCGTTTTTAGAATTAATTATCGTTATAAAATAAATATTTCATTTCAATGGAATCGATCTTCGATATAATCTAAAAAAATCGTTCTCTCGTTCGCGATCATATGAGCTCCTCGTTAAACCTTTTACAATTTAAAAAGCAAAGAATAAACCAAATTTAAAGAAGTAAATATGTCGTGTTTCGCATTGCACTAATGAACCATTATATATATATTATATAATATATACATATGTATGTGTATATATATGAGTGAAATACCTAATATATGTATTAGGGTGTCCCAAAAGTTTTTTTTTCATCATGAATGGCCTTATCCGACTCTGTTTGTGCAAATATGCAGGCTGATCTATTAGCCGTCTATGTTATCGATTTCAGTCGTTTCTAGAGCTTTTTTACAGTACGTTTCGTTTGTGCCACAGTCTCTTTTAAAACGTTCATCCACAGCGTTAAACATGGGTAGGGAAAGGCAACATTTACGGTATGTTATGTTTCATTGTTCCAAAAAAGGTGATAGTGTAAAGAATACTGTCGACGAGATTTGTACCGTGTATGGGCATGGTGCTATAACTATTACAACCGTTCGCAATTGGTTTAAAAAATTTAGAGGGGGAAATTTTAATCTAAAAGATGAAGACCGTAGCAGCCAGCCAAAAACAACGGATACGGACCTTATCAAGGCGATGCTTGATAAAAATCCGCGATATAGTGTGCGCGAGATAGTGAATGCCACTAGGATTCCCAAAACAACAGTGCATAATCACCTAACTAAGATGGAATATGTTAATCGCTGCGAAGTTTGGGTTCTGCACTTAGTGATGGAGATCACATATTGCATTAGCGGTAAGAGAAAAGCTCTTACAGTTTGATTGGGATGTTTTACCGCATTCTGCATACTCTCCAGATCTCGTTCCATCAGATTATTACTTCTTTCTGACCTTAAAAAATTCTCTTCGCGATAAGCGCTTTAAATTCATCAACGAAATAAAAACGCACCTCCAGGATTATTTCTTATCCAAAACACAACAATTTTGAAAAAAAGGCATAATAAAGCTTCCTGAGAGATGGAAGAAGGTAATAGAACCAAAGGGTCCTTATATAAGAAAATAACAGTAAACATTGTATATTCATTTTATATAAGAAAAAGGAAAGAAACTTATGGGACATCCTAATATATGTATAGATCTTCCATGTAATATCAGCTTAACTAGATCTTCTACAAAAGACTGAAGCGTTCCATGTATATTTTTATTTTAAATTCGTTAACTCTTTCGTGAAGAATTTATTACATGAACGTTTAATTATAACCAATAAAATTGCAAATATAATTTTTTTTCGACGAAGGTAAGTCGATCGATTTATAGATTTTAAATCTCCAATAGTGAAAATTGGAAAAAAGATGAAAAAAATACTGATGAAATTCGACGAACTATCATATTATTCGAAGAATTCATCTTGTTTTTCCATTCGATAAGAATTTTTAAATAAAAATAAAAAAAAAAAAATACAACCACAGTCTTTGTTCTTTTTTGTAAAGAAACGAAACAATTAGTCGAAGATTTTAACGAGAAAGAAGAAAGATGTGTAAAGAGAGATTACTTTCTTATGGTCGTCGGTTAATTCGTCAGATCCGTACAATTTGAAGAAAAAAGAGAGCAAAGTAGTTTGATAAAGACAAATGAAGTTATACAAAATAAAGAAAGATGTGAAATGAAATAAAATAAAATAATGTAAATTGAATATAAATAAGATTAATCGAATACAGAATAGATATAAACGAATATCCACGATAGAAATAAATGAGAGAAACCACTATTACTGTTGTGGGAGTAACAGGTACATATAGTACTATAATATATAGTACTATAGTATATAGTACTATATATAGTACTATAATATAGTACTATAATACATATAGTACTATTGTTACATAATAATGTAACAAGAACAATTGAAAATATATTAAGTTTAAATCTATTGTAAAACAATACAAATTTGCTTATTTAATAAAAAAATCAGAAAAGAAAAATGAAAATAACGACGCACCTTGAACAACAAATCCAAGGATAAGCAGGAGATACATAAATCCATTTTCTTCCATTTCTTCTTTCCAACCTTCAAGCTCAAGCACCTTGACGAATTAATAGTCGTTTTTTGAAATAAGGAAATTTTCGAAAAAATGACAGATACACTTTGTGTTGGTACTTGCGATACTTCACCGAATACACCTTTGAGTCTAACTCGTCATCGCGCGCATTTGCTCTTAGATTTGTCCTTCAATACTCCACACGGATTTTTTAAATGAAAGACAATGATAGAAATAAAAGTAGAAAGAAAAGGAAATATAGAATTGTTAAAAAATGCTAACTGGGTTGATAGAACCGTACGATATTTTTTCTTTTCTTTCTATTTTGTTCTCTTTCCTTCTGAGAAACTTTCGTTGATTTTCTATGACACAAAGTAGGTCTCTACGAACGATAGACTGCGATCTCTTCCGAAGACTGAGCTGCTCGTTCAGTCCGCACTGTAGCAGGAAGTCGTCCAGTGTTCCACTCCCTCCCTACCCATCCCACCACCACCACCTGCTGCTGGTGTTGCTTCTGCTTTTCTTTACCATCACCTTGAAGCGAATAACGAATTGTGTGCTGGTTGCTACCAAAAACGAGAGATTGCCTTATACAATCGACTGACTGAATATTTCTTCTCTTCTACTTAGTCTCACTTCTGAAGGTATTGGGGCCAATCCTTGAACTATCTTTCGGATGACCAATGATCGGGAAAATGGATGGATATTCGATGACGACGATGTACGATGGATCACCAATGTAGCTGGACAAAAGTCATTTTAGTGACCATCATAAAATCTTTTAATTTTTATTGAAAGTTATTGAAAAATATCTGTTTTACAAGATATCATAGTCATAATTTGTTTACCATAAAAAATTCTGTGTTTCAAAACCTATTGATAATATATTTTTATGGTTTATATTCTATTCTTTTTCATAAATATTATTATATTCTTTTTCTGTTTTAAAATATAGTAAAATAATACTTCATTATTTTATAATATAAATATGTTTTTAATATCTTAATTTCATAGAAAAAATTTATGTATTGTCGATGTACGTTCTGTAGGCCTTTAAGCAGGCCTACAGAATGCTGTTGGTGACCGTTGGTGTTTTTCTTGTAATATTTTATTGAATAATTCATTTCCTGCAAAATGTGTCATATTTTAGCTGCTGAAATATCTTATAAATGAAAATATTTCAATTTTTATCAAACGCAATTTGGTTGCTTCATACGGGACATGAAAGTATAGCCGATGCTCTCGCCACTTGATACTTTACTTTCTTTAACCACTCATATCTACGGATTGGGATTACGATATCTTATATAGAGATATATACGTCAAACATATTACATTTTTTAAAAGAATTTGCACCTGAAGTCAGTAGCGATTTAGAAATAGATGAATTTTCTGATGCTCCGAATAGCACTTTCATTATAAATTAATAATTTGTAAGTACATAATTAAAAATATCGTCTTTTGCATACATATATTACTGTATATTATTTATAAACATATATTACTCACAATTAGTTGCATTTTATATTTAACTATATACAGCTTAAAATATATCATTTAATTAACAAAAATAGATTAATTTATTAAAAAAATGTAATTATTATTCATATTTAATACGATTCTAAATCACTTCATAAATGTCAAATTTGAAATCCCCCATTTCAAATTTTGTTCAGCTAGATTAATGATGCACTGTACATAGTCGTTTTCGAATATCCGTGCAATGTGTCATTTCCTGTGCTTTTTTTATTCCTTTTTAACATCTTCTCAATTTCTGTTACATGACCTCCATTTTACTCGACGAGCTGTAAATGGTCAATCGTTGATATAATTTTTCTTCACTTTCTTAATCTCCATCCATAAAAGTATAATAAAATTTTTCCGTTTTATTTGAACAAGAAGAAAAAGACTTATTTGATAAAAAATCGCTCAGTTATAGCGCAACTATTCCGTCTAACAATATGTCGTAGAAAATATCTGTAAATAGCGACGAACTTAGGTATTCGTGAATAATAGCTTAAATTACACGGGAGATCACTTGACTACTTAATTATCATTACTTATTTATCAATAATTTGTATTTCGATCACGTACGATCTTTAAATAGAAAAGTAGTATAACGATCACGTGATTCATAGATACAAAAAAGACATATCTATGTATAAAAAATAGTAAGAAGTTATCAATTATTGTATCTACTCAGGTGAGCGGAAAAAGAAAGAGTATATCTCGATTTGGTATAAACGGAAATTTGTCGAGACGAAAGTTAGTAGTTTGCGGTAACGTGCGTCCAAAGAGTTGGAAGTCGAGTCACTTGTTAGCAGCGTCGACTTCCTGACCCACATACCAGAAGCGCCGTACAAATGTAACACACTTTGTACGTTCCTCCAGCCACAAAGCAGCTGCGAGCCAACCGCAACCTATCGGAATAGGAAGAATGCGTCGTCGCTTTTACGTGCTTTCGAATAATAATTCTGTTGATCTCTGAAGAAACATTTTCGAAATGATCGAAGCAGCTAAATTATCGTCGGGGTCATCGGCCGATGTCATGCGATGTTTAATCTAGTACCGTCGGCGAATCGAATTTCTCCGTTACGCCTTGGTATCGTCTTCGAGCATGGCCATATCGGTGACACTGCCTCTTCCTTCTACGCATACCAATCGATCCTTTTCGGATTATTATACCGAGTCGTAATCCATATTCAAAAATACTAAAAAACGAACGCGAAAAATATCAGACACGTTGAAACGATACATGATATATTTAGTAGTCATATATAATCCATATAAATATATCTCCGCAAAGGTTTATCGTAGAAACGATAACGATATCTTTAATGTTTATAATCGACACATATTCTATTAGTTGTTTTTTAAACAAATTCTAGTAATAGATAACCCACGACCCAAATCGAACATCCTTCGTGTCATCGATTCTTGATGAAAGTTCTCACTGGTAACCTCGTTAAGACATCGTTATCAGCCATAAGACGACCTTCGTTAACAAGAAAAATTCCACGCAAAGTCTCGAACTGTCGCAAAATTTGTTACTTCTGTCGCGCTGTTTCGTAAAAGAAGAGAAAGAAAAGTACTATCTTTCGGATAATTACATGATGCCTCCTAAACCATCTTCTAAATCTATCGCATTCGTTACGTTATTAGTTTTCGATCCCCGTTGTTCTCAGCAATATCAGCTCATTTTTTGTTTTTCATAATTCTGTCTTTCCCACACTCTCTTTACTCATAAAACGTTATTATTGAAGATGGCAACTAATTTTTAATATTTAAAAATTCGACAACAAATTTTATAAAATAAAACTACCATTTAAAACTTTGAAATATAAGAAAAAATATGGAACTTCCCTGAAGATCTTGAAAAACAATTACAAATCCATCGACGGGATTTACTAATTTGTTTATGTTGAGATCAATTAATCTCTTCTTTTCTTTTTTTCTTCTCAATGCAATCACAACATAAGTAGAAGAGAATTGCCGAATGTGTATCCGTTGGCTAAGTCGTTTCTCATTAATTTTTTTCTTATTACTAAATATAAATGATGTCTAACAGTAATTATATGAATTAAATGAATTATATGAATTATATGAATCAAAAATGTATAGATTACATCTTATTTCGCGAGAGCTATAAATATATGGAAAAATCAGTTAATCTCTTGATTAATTTATTTTGTTAATAATAATTTATCAGTTTTATTTTACATTTTTATATTTTTATAAGAGCAAATTTATTGTAAAGTGTTTGACAATATTTATATTCATCGAGTGTCTCATTTTAAA